GGGAGCGGGGCCAAGCGTGCCGCGGGGGTGCCGCAAAACAGGGGCAGGGGTCGGTGCAGGGACAGTCAGGGCGGGGGCGGAGTGAGCGGAAGTTGTGTCCGCACCAAGAGCTGCTGGGCTGTGTTGCAGTCGAGGATGCATGGCAGGGGCATGTATGGCTTGTAGAGGGTCTTAATGTGATTGAGGTCCCTGGGGGTGGGGGTGGATCGAGGGGTGGCGATGGGGCGAGGAGTGGGGGCCACGCACAAGCTTGGGACGATGATGCAAGGGGACACGTACGGCTTGCCGCTTCCTTCACATCTGTTGGCCGGCCCCCCGGCCCGGTGGAGCGAGCCGCGTGGCAGGTGGGCCCCGTGCCCTCTGGCATCAACCCTGGTGACTAGGATGGCGGAGATGACGGCAGGCGAGGGCCGGCCTGCGGCGCCGGCGGCTGCGCTGCGACTGCTGCTCGGGTGCACGCGTGGGGGCCCCCTGCGCGGCTTGTGGCCGCCCACCAGCCCGGCATGGGGAGCTTCGGGAACACGACCGGCTGCGCTGTGAGCACTATGTTCTGCGCCAGCATCAGGGGGCTGAAGTACTTGGTGTAGGTGAGGGACTCACTGCCGTCGACGTGCACCTGCGGCGACAGGGGCCACAGAACACGATCATATCACATCAGATCAGATCACTTCAGACAAGTCCAGAAGTCGGACGCCGTCACGCAGGGATCGCCCGCCACCCAGCCCGCCGCGCGCGTGCCATTGGTGTAACTGCTTTCGGGTCGAGCGGCGTCTGCGCGGGCGGCTTCTCGGCGGCTGCCCGCGCACCTCCCATGTAGATATGTTGAGGCCGGTGTGCAGCCAGGCGCTCTTGGCGGGGGAGTTGTAGACGCCAGACCAGTAGCGCTTGACGTCCACCTCGCTGGACAGGGGCAGCACCAGGGTGCAGTTCCGCACCGCAATGCGCGGCTCCATCCTTGCGGCGCCGCGGGGGTGCGTGTGAGGTGTGTGTGTGTGTGAGTGAGTGTGTTTGTGTAATATGTGTGTGTGTGTGTGCGAGTGTGTGTGTGTGTGCATGCGTGTGTGCGTGCGTGCGTGTGTTGCGAGGGGGCAGACCGAGCACGCTTGCCAGCGCGTGCAGCGTGCGCGCGCCGCAGATCGGGCGCCGCGACGTGCGCTTGCGAGATCGCAGGCCCCGCCGTGCTGCCGTCGCGCCGCCCCGCCCTTCGCGGGCACGCGGCCTCCCAAGGACCCTTGCCGGTCCTTTCCCCTCCCTCGATCTCAAGCACTCCGCCTCACCGGCCTCCAATTCCCGAGACGACCTCGTGCTGGCAATCATGCACTCACAACTATTCACACGGAGACCAACATACACTGATACCCATAATCACCCGCCCCAAAAACCCCCACCGACCCCCTCGCAGCGCGCGCCCCTCACCCGCGCCGGCTGGTGTTGAAGAACCACAGGTTCGACGCGCTGATGACAGAGTACGTCGCCGCGCTGACGTCAGACGGGTCTCCATATCCGAGGTTCTCCAGCACCATGGTATCAAACGTCACGTTCCCCCACGGCCCCACCAGCGCCGCGCAGCCGGCGCAGTTCCCCAGGTCGAGCGCCGTCGGCGCGTCCGTCCACCCGACGATGACCAACGGCCGCCGGATCTGGAGCCCGCCGGCCGGCCAGTCGGAGCGCGGCCACAGGGTGACGTGTCGTTCGTGTATATAAGATAAGGTTCTGGCGTCTCGATGGTCGCGAATTTGAGCAGCACGGCCACGAGCGTGTCGTTGCCTACATCCAGTGAGTAGCTGCTGGTCGAGATGCCTGGGGGGGCCGGGGGCTCAGCCGCGTTGAGCACGCCGAAGGCGCGCGCCATGATGCCGCCGCCGGCGAACCAGTTCACGTGGAGCCACGTGCGGTTGTCCTGGGGGTGTGTAGGGTGTGTAGGGTGTGTGGGGCGTGCGGGGTGTGTGGGGTGTGT